GGGAGCACAAATAAATCTGGTCTAGTTGGTGTTAATTCTTCGTTTACAGGAGGTGCTTATGGTCATTCAGTGGTACAAGACCTCTGAAAAATAAAAATCCACAGGACTCACCAAATGTCTTAAAATAGACTGCGAGTGAAAATAACAGACGATATAAGTATTAGAGGTGCAGCGATTCAAACTTTGGCCTGCCATGGAGATATTTAGAAGGTAAAATTTCAAGTGTGATAAACTACCTTGTGATGTACAGAAAATAATTAAGCAGACGATTTCTGCACCTAATTGCGAATTATGACTACAATACAAATCAGTCCCAGTTGACAGCCTATGACAAATGTTTGGCATAAATCACATTTGCACCTCCCTCTACAGATAAGCGAACTTCTCTAAAGCGCGTTCTTTTCTGTGATGTGGAGGTCACAAAATGTGGGGATCAATCGATTACCCCGGATGACCCTTTGACTTGATATCGCGATTGATAAAAAAGCTGCGCAGAGTTGAAAATAAAAAGTGCCATACTTTGAAACAGACAATAATATATCCTGATGCATTAAAATGATGATAAACTAAGTCAAATGAGGGATAGCTGGTACATCAAGCATGGCACGGAGGTAGCAACTTACAAGTTAAAATTGCACCAATGACTTCAGGAAAGCCCGCTTCGGGTCGAGGAATGAACAATTTTTGGCGATATCGACCTATGTTAACCAGCTGTTGAGCCCTATCAAACTCCTTAAATGGTTCCAACATTGTAAAAATTTCCCACAGAACCACACCATAAGACCACACATCGGACGCGAGACTGAATATTTCCTAAAATAAACATTCAATATAAAGGTAGGCACCATGTCGATGTTGCCAGTATCATGCCATAGTGTGAGTCGTTTGCTAACCTTCAACGAATCAATTAGTTGAAATTAAGGTGCTTATTCATTTTGCACTACCAATACAGAATTAGGGATACGCTAGTGCAGGCAGTGCTTGACCAAATGTGGCTTATTCGAAAGGCAAGAGTATACAACTTCAGGAGATATTGAAGCAGCGGTAATGAAATGAATGTTTGCAAAAGGTAACTAAAGCGTTATACTCTGGTACAATGCTAGCACAACGATTTGCATCAAAAAGTATAGAAAGTTCGAAAGCATAGTCTCCTGAGAACCTTATTTAAACAAAAGTTTCGGCGTTTTTCGTTAGACTACACAAAGAAGCGCTGTGAAGGCTTTGTGCGTTACATCCTAAAATGTGTTTAAAACTATCTGGCAGCGTGATCAAGGTAACCTAGTCACTTGTCTTCAATGAACCTTGGTTGATAAGGTTGAAAACTTAGCCACGTTTCTGGAAGGAAGGACACTAGGCAAAGTAATGCTATAACCACACTCTGTGTCGATGATCAATTAAGCGGAGTACCAAGCTAGGCTGAAACCAACAGGACGACCTCAGAAGCACAAAAAACGCGCGTGCAAATGAGTATTCGATTCAAATGAGAGGTACTTCCGTGTTACTGTAGTGCGCAATGCATTACCATGCAAATGACCTCTGGAGCAGCATACGCAGCTGTGCCGACGCCAGAAACCCAAGAGTCAATAGTGTCAGTGGGACAGGACATGCCGAAGTCGGAGATGATCAGAGTCTTGTTGATAAGATCATCTGGCCCGGGAGAAGCAACCAGAGGCTCGCGAATGAGAACTGTGGAAAGGATATTGCGTTAGAAATTACTCTTAGGCGCGTATTTTGGTTGCCCTGACAAAGCAAGCATCCTCGAGCTCACTTTTAGCAGGTAAATTGAGTTTGGATAGGCAAAAAAGGCTTTAGCCTATTGAACAATGGATTCTTCAGACTGTTTTTGCAAGCTCTCAAGAGGGAAAAAACATTCACGTGGGTCACGGATAGTCAGACAGTAACCCATGAGAAGGTATTTCTTGGCAAGGATAAACACCACCAAAAACTATGCACGCGACAGTCTGTTGGGATCAAACTTATATAAGTAGACGCTTTCTAAGAAAAGCATTTATCGACAAATTCCAGTTTGGAAATAATGCCAGATCAGACACCTGTTGACACTAAATTTTACTCAGTTGCACAAAGGCTAAAACACGTCCATAACTAGTAATTAGTGACTATTTATGACAACCACTACAAAACCTAACTACACTTGTAAAAAAAGGTGGAAGCATTCAGACAGTAACCGAATAGCTTCGATGGATGTAGCGCATCTAAAAATAAACCGCTATATTGAAACTTTCGGGAGAGGTAAAACTGGAGACCCCTGCGGGTTGCATCAAAGATAATACGTCCTACCATATTCGTAGCTAGAAACATACACCTTAAATGCGACCACAAGAATGGCCCAGCTAAATTGCCTTGCTAAGTTAAAAGAGCTAGAGGCATCGCAGGCAGTGTTGTAATGGAACTTCAAAGAAATTAGATGAAGAAAGAAATTTCACTAGATAATGATCCGAGAACTAAAATTGCAGAAACTCAGTTAAATGACAAAGTGGAAAGTGGAGTGAATTTTGACAGAAAAGTTTTCAAAAAGCTAATAAAGGCTTAAGCTTTCAATTATCACACTCTCAGCAAAAAATCGTCCCTAGTAAGAGTAATGGAACAATAGAAAAATTAAATAAAAAAGAAAAATGGTACTCTACTTCGATGAAAAACAAGACTGCAACCAAAGAGAGCCTAAGGACAACCATGAAGTTACTAAAGAAATGTGCTAACAAATAAATTTAGCTGAAATTTAATGGGGAACACCAAATTTTCTTTCTAAGTACGGAGAACGTAGGACTTCGTCCAAAGTATACCCTTCCTTCAAACTGGTTAGAATTTTGTTTGTCTGAAATAAGGAGATGTAAAAACCCAACACATACTACTTTGATCATGTGCCGTTTTACCAATATCTACTTATTCTATGAAATGGGTTACGCTCAATAAATCACGAAGGCTATGCAATGCTTGAAATACACATAAGTCTAAGCTATCTAACACGCGCATTAATCGTTCCGCATCGCACAGTAACTCAGGCCTTTAGACCGGTGGACCCACTGTTAGCAGTCTTCAAATCCCTATGAACAAGGCCGGCGCATTCGTGGAGGTAGCGCATGCCTTCAGCGATTTGAAGAGCCCAATCGGCAAGGGATAGAGGTCGGACAGGGGGTCGTCTGCGCACAACGGTGTGAAGAGCGCCCCCATGGGCAAACTCCATCACCAGGGCGGGCAAGTGGCTGACCGTCTCTTGGGTCTCCCACAGACCAAAGAACTCCACTACGTTGCGATGCGCAAGCTGACCCAAATTAAAGGCCTCGCGTTGAACCTGCATTTTATGAGGAAATATAGATTTAACTCACAAAAAAAGTAAATCAACTGCCAAAAGCGTGTGCAATGAAATTTTTCACAATGGATGGAGATAGGTTCTTTGGTAAAAAGGATGATGACTGTCAATCACACAGCTACCGATCAGGAAGGCAACTAAGCTGATATAGCAGGTACAAATAAAGAAAACTATATATGCGTGAATGTTAGCAACATGATAAATAAACGCCTTTTACCCACTTTCAGATGCAAATGAAAATGTCTAACAAAAAGGTATTTACAGTGTTGAAAAATAGTGAGAATTTAAGCCTTATTTTGAGACAGAATACAGATGGTTTAACCGAAGTGTGAAGTAAACGCGCGATTCTTGTCCAGTGAATGGGATTGCAGAATGAAGTGTTTTCGTCACTCTAAAATTTTGTAAAGAACCACACCCAAACACCTTGTTTGGTAATAGAATTCGTCAACGATGCCCGATAACAAAAGCTTTGGAAAGAATGAAAATTAAGCTTGCGGATTCCAAATGCAAGGAGAAACCTGACCAGACATTCATGCGGGACTAAATCAATGGTCTGCAACAATGAAATTGCCAGTAGCCCTTTTAATATGCACCCTAAGCAAATTTTGTGGATACATGTTTTGACTGGTTGAGAATACCACCATGAAAACCGATAGTCAATAGCACATGATACTATACGTACAATAACAAATCTCACTATTTAGTGATTATTTTTAAAACCAGGGAAGGAAATGATGAAATTTATCTCTGCATCCACTACAGACAAAACAAAACTCCGGACCAGATTTCGTAATGGGCGGCATACTTTATCCAATGTGAAAACCATAGCAATAGTACATGACCATGATGTGATTACTCACAGAACAAGAAAACAAGACGCGATAAGGCCTTGGGGCAGAATCCGCTATCATTTCCCATTCAACATACCTATCTACTATTGCTGCGACAACTGCCATTAGAAATGGTCTAGTGTAATGAGTGTTAATGTCAGTCGCTAAGGTCACTTCGAAGTTGGGTACTGTTTGCAAAGGCAAAACAACATCAGAGAAGCGCGCTCACACGCACACCAGACATTGGTTTCGTCCACTCAATTTCAAAGAAAGTCTACTTAAGCTGCATGAGAAGTCAGAAGAGCGGAAGGGCCAATTAATCACACATAAGGGAAAAGTAAGGCAATGTATGCCGACAAGAGATTAAAAAATTAAAGCAAAAACTCGATAGGTTTTGCTACCCAGTCACATCGACATAGAAATAAGAAGGTTCCTATTCAAAGTGCTCACGTTACAAATAATAGAAAAGGAAATGCAGTTTCGCATAGGTTTCTTGACAAATCTAAATCGGAGAAATGCAGAGTGGTGAGAGAATTTAAATGGGCGCTGCTGCCATGTCCCCCACGACACTTTGAGTAACAATAGGTACAAGTTGAGTGATATTTCCCAAATCGCTGTGGAAATGAACCCAAAGGACCTTAATCGCCAGTGGCCACCTAAGGTATGGCGCGTGACGATGGTTCAGCACTCAGAAGGTGGAGTTAGTAGAGGAAGTCAGAATAAATTTTGATAATAAATTAAAAGTATAGTAACGGTGCTACCACTACCACTTTCAGTGATATTATTAACAATCGCTCAGTGATCCAAATCAAAGAAATCTATTGAAAATCCAAATAACTACTACCGCTTCTGGCGTGGGATTAGATAAGACTTATAAAGTTTATGAGGTGTAGAGAATGGATTAGAGACACGTTTCGTAGAAGGATTTCCATAGAGTTAAATTGGCAGCGCTATTTAAACCGTTCTTTTTATGGCTTGATAATTAAATGGCAAAATCACCTCTAGATTGGTGAAGCACTATTATTTCTGGCACGCACAGAAATTTGGCTGAAGGAGAACAATACGACAGGACTCTGGTAGCACTCACTACACACAGAGTCGTCCCTCAAGGAAGGAACAAATGCGTCAAATAAGCGCATAGTTTTTGAGACCTCTTTCACACATACTATCAGTTTAACGAACGCAGCACACTTGCAATTACATCCAAATCGTACAAAAAGGGGGAT